ATGTTAAGGAGAATAACCTCTGACCTACTTTCGCTGCCTATTGTACGGTTACGCTTAAGCAGCTAAGTCTGGTATATATTTTGGGGAGACAACTTAAGAGAAATCCTTCTGTTCCCCACAGTTACTATTGGTCAGAAACGACTCAATGGCAGTGAGTTTCCAGTTGGAAGGTGCTCCCTTTATGTTCAGGAGCCTTGGTGGCATAGCAGTTACGCGGTGGGCTGCTAACTGAGAGGTCAGCAGTTCAAAACCATCCACTGTTCTGCAAGAGAAAGCCTTGTCTTTCTACTCCCCTACAGTTATAGTCTTGGAAACCCACAGGGGCAGTTATACCCTGTCCTATAGGGTCACTCTGAGTCAGCATGAACTTGATGACAGGAAGGCATGTTTGTTTGTTGACACTCTATATGCTGTGTTAGTTTGGGTACACAAGAGAAACAAATCCATGGACACACATATGTGTATAAGAAAGAGTTTTATATACAAGAGGAATTGAACATTGAAAAAACATCCCAACCCAGTCCAGTTCAAGGCTTTAAGTCCGATATTAGCCCAATGTGCAATACCAATCTATAAAGTCCTCTTCAGACTCCCGAAACACATGCAATGAAGCCAAATGCAGAGCAATCACAAGCCAGTGGATAGAAAGTCTTTGGGTCCAGTGGCGTTGTAAGCATCTCAGCGCTGGCAGGGGTCCCTCTGTGGCTTCTCCAACTTCAGAGGTCTGGTTGCGTCCATGTGGCTTGTCTTCTGCGAGATCTCCTAGGGAGTAGCAGAGAGAGAGAGGTGTCTTCCCCCTCCAAGGAGGAAGTTCCAGATTTCCCAGAATTCTCAGGAGAAGGCCATGCCCAGAGAAGTCTCATTGGCTATCTCCAGATTGACAGCCTAGACTCCACCCCTACACTCTTCATCCTTCAATTGACACCAGATTAGGTGACTACCACATATGCTAAGACTCACACTTGACTGACTGACGTCAGATAGGAACTGTACCCATTGTTCTGACTTACATTCAAATTTGACTTATAGACAGGCTCAAGAATGGAGCTCCTTCATCATCTGGAGACTGCCTGTATGTTGCACATATGCATGGCGGATTACACACAACCGTGGAAAGACTATATATAATCTTTTATTGATTTTTAAGATCATGTGGTTGGGGACTCTTACAGCTCTTATAACAATCCATACATCAATTTTATCAAGCATATTTGCACCATGATATCTTTTATAACCTCTGTGTTAGGCAGGGTTCTCTGGAAAACCAGAACCAGGGGTCCTACCTAAAAACATGATGGGTTAAATCATACTGGAGCTGGGTGGGTCCTAGTCCCAATCCCTTCTGAGTGGAGTCTTATGACAAACAAACGGACAAGTGGTGAGGATGACGCGCAGGACAGGATGGGGCTATGCTTCATTGTGGTGGTCCTAGGGTCACTATGAAAGTGACCTCATAGACATATGTGTATAAGAAAGAGCTTTATATAAGGAGTAATTGTATATTAAGAAAACATCCCAGCCCAGCCCAGTTCAAGTCCACAAGTCTGATACTAGCCCATATGTCTAATACCAATCTATAAAGTCCTCTTCAGACTCAGAAAACACATGCAATGATGACAAATGCAGGAAGATCACAGGCCAGTGAGTGGGAAGTCTTGTGGATCCAGTGGTGGTGTAGGCATCTCGGCACTGGCAGGGGTCTCTACACGACTTCTTTGGCTTCAGAGGTCTGGTTGCATCAGGGCAGGTCCATGTGGCTTCTCCAGTTCAGGGCACTAGTGTAGTTCCATGTGTCAACTGCAATGTCTCCCAGGGAGTGAAGTGAGAGAGATAGTATCTCCCATCTCCACAGGGGAAAAATACAGCAGTTCCCAGAATTCTCAGGAGAAGGCCATGCCCACACAGAGGTCTCATTGGCTATCTCTGGATTGACAGGCTAGACTCCACCCCCACACTCGTCATTCTCTCACATTAACACCAGGTTATGTAACTACCACACCCCCCAAAAGAGATCGCTGTCTTTTGGAGCATTTGCTCTCAAGGAGTCAACAGCCATGGTGGGCAGCGGCTCAAGCAGCATCCTGGCATGCTTTGTGTTGGGTGACCTTTCAGGCCGAGTGAAGCAGTCACACGACCACAGACTCATGTGATCTCTTGACTGCAATCTCATGAGAGATCCTGAGCCAGCATCACCTAGCTAACACACGTCCAAATCCCTGACCCACGGCAACGGTGAGAGGTTATAAGTGTGTGCTGTTTTAGGCCACTCATTTTGGGGATGCTTCATGACGCGTCAATAACTGTCTACTCAGCAGTAACTCTTTGCAATATCTTGTTTTCAGTGCTGTGGTGGTTCCATAATCTGGTGTCAATGGGAGAGGATGACAGGTGAAGGGGTAGAGCCTGGCCTGTCAATCAAGATATGACCAACGAGGCCTCTGTGTGAGCATGGCCTTCTCCTGAGAACTCTGGGAACTCCTCTATTTCCTCCTTGGAGGTGGGAGACAGTTATCTCTCTCTGCTCACTCCTTTGAAGACACTCTACTGACAAGATACATGGGGCTGCTACACCTTGGGAGTTGGAAGAGCCACATGGACCTACTCTGATGCAACCAGATCTCTGGATCCAGAGAAGCCATGTAGAGACCCTGCCGGCACTGAGATGCTTACAATACCACTGGATCCACAAGACTTCCAACCGACTTGCTTGTGGTCCTCCTGCATTCGGCATCATTGCACGTGTTTCGTGAGTCTGAAGAGGACTTTATAGATTGGTATTGGACATATGGGCTAATAGTGGACTCATGGACTTGATCTGGACTGCACCAGAATGTTTTCTCAATATTCAATTGCTCTTGTATATGAACCTCTTTCTTATATACATATGAGTGTCTATGAATCTGTTTCTCTCGTCTACCCAGACTGACGCAAGTGCCAAATATAGCTGAACGCAAATCCTCAAAGGAAGGGTCCCTGGTGGTGCTGTGGGTTAAGCGCCAGTCTGCCAGCTGCCAATCGGCTGGTTAAACCCACCAATGGCTCAAAGGGAGACAGATGAGCCTCTCTGTTCCTGTAAAGATCTATTGACCCAGAACCCCTGTATGTGGTTGTTATGAGTCGGACCTGACTCAGTGGTCCAAACACCAAACTCGCTGCCATTGAGTCCATTCTGAGTTGTAGTGACCCAATAAGACAGGGTAGAGCTGCACCCCCACCCAACCCAAGACTGTTGACTCAATGGGAGTAGAAAGCCTCATCTTTCTCCTGTGGAGCAGTTGGTGGTTTCAAACTGCTGACCTTGGGGTTAGCTGTCCAACTTGGAATCACTACGTCACCATGAGGAATGTCCTACATGGCCACCTTTTCCAGACCACTCCATGGTCTCTGACAGCAACTCCTCCCCCCTTGCCTAAGTCCCTTCCCTCCTGTTTGGGGGGATCCGGTCTTTGATGAGACGGCTCAAGGAGCTCCCAGACCATCCAGGGAATGGCTCATGTGGTTGTAGAGACTCAAATCCGTGTAGCCAAACCTTATTCCCATCAACGTTCGCATTCCCATCTCCCTGCAGTCTCATCGCAGGGCCCTGCGAGACGTTACCATATTCGAGGAATACAGTGCAAAAGCCCATTGGACTTCTGTGCTTAGCAGCCCTAAGCAAGTCTCCTGCCCACCCCTAGCTATTTCACGCACACACATGCGCAAATGACCTTTGGTCCCAGACGGCCCCCGGCCCCCTCTCATCCCCCCTTATCTCGTTAAGCTCGCTGAGCCTCTTCAAATGATCCCAGGTGGGTCAAAGGCTCTCAGCCTTAAAGAGCCCCTGGTTTAAGGGACATGAGGAGGGAGGGCAGACTGACAGTAGTGGGGTGGGGGCAGGACAGAGAATGGGAGTCTGAGGTGGGGGGTGTGGGCATGTGTGTGTGTGTGTGTGGGGTCTCGCTCCTCTCTGCATCTGTTTCTGTGTCTTCCAGCACGTCCACAACCATGTCAGGTGCTGCAGCCTCTGGCTCCTGGGGGAGGCATGCCGGGACGTGCTCCCATGGGGACGAGCTAATGAGCAGGTAGGTTGTGGCACAGCCAGTGGGGCTGAGCTCAGCGTCTGGGCTGCGTCGATATGGCTGGGCCAGGGGCGCAGGGCCACCGGGCTGTGCCGCTCCTGCTGCTGCTGCTGCTAGGGACCCAGACCGTGGCGAAAGGACCCCTGGTGTTTGTGGCTCTGGTGAGGTGTCCTCTGGCCCGACCTGACCCCTCGGGGGGCCCCCCACCCCTAGCCCAGTCCTGACCGGGCCCTACCCACCAGGTGTTTCGCCATGGCGACCGAGCCCCACTGGCATCCTACCCCTTGGACCCGCACAAAGAGGCAGCTCCCACCCTGTGGCCACGGGGTCTGGGCCAGCTGACCGGGGTGAGATGTTGGAAGGTGGGGGTGAGAAATGGGGCAGGGGTCCAGAGTGGGGGTGTCTATTGAGTCCTACTCTGTCCCCAGGAGGGGGTCCGCCAGCAGCTGGAGCTGGGCCGTTTCCTGAGGAACCGCTACCAGCATTTTCTGAGTCCTGAGTACTGGCGGGAGGAGGTACTGCTATGGGGACCATGGCCCAGGCTCCTGACCTACCTCTCACCCCTGGCCTCCACTGTCTCTGGCATGCCTTCTGGACACCCCTCTCTATCTCCTTCTACTAACCTGATTTGAACCTAACCTCTGAGCCCCAGTGAACCCATCCTCACCTCTGACTCGACTTCCTTCGAGCTGTCTTGTCTGGATCTCTGACCGCTAACCTCTGTCCGCTTTGGCCCTCCTGAACACCTCGCTTTGACCCTTGTTGACTGAATCTATAATTTCGATTTCCCATCCTCCCGTGAGACTTGGGCACTCTATCCTTCCACTTGACACCTTCGTCTTGACCTCTGGCCTCTCGCCTTTGACTTGGACTTTATTTCCTGGACTCCACCTCTGCCTTCGGACTCTCACCACCCAGACCTTCCGACCTCTGATCCCCAAACTTGGTGTGTTGTCTTTGGGCCTTCATCAGTTCACCGTGCCCTTCTGACCCCCAACCTCTGACCTCTCGACTTCCTCAATTCTGATCTAATTGTCCTGCCTCCTCTTCTTTCTTTCCACATTCCCTCCCCGCGTGAGGACCCTCCTGCCCAACCCCAGACCTCCACCCCTGAGGGGAAAACACTAAACTGACCTTATATCGTTCCAAGATGCCCTCCTCCCCTTGACCTCTAACTTCCAACCTCTACCAATCCTGATCTGCCTTCAGACGCTTCTGAACTCCAGGAGCCCTTTGACCTCTGATGCCCTTCCCCCGGGTCCATTCAACTTCTGCCCTCCAACCTAGCTGCTCCTGACATTAACCTCTAACCCTTGACCCCCACCCCACCCCCCAGCATCACCACCTGCTGTGGGTTTTCGACTGGAACAGACACCCTCATCCCCCTTGCTGCTTTTTCATGACTTTTAACCCCACCTCCCAAGCGAAATTGGAAGCGTTTTGAACCGGCTTATTCAGGTTCAGTCCTGGGCCAAGGATGTAACATCAGAACAGACTTGAATGTGGGGAAATTGGGGTGAACCAGACGGCCATTGCCATGGGAGGTGGGGGCGGGGGCTGGAAATCAGGCGGGGGAAGAAGCCCTATGAGTTGCCCAGCGACTGCGGCTGCATTCGGAGCACAGTGGGACACCGCCGTGCCCAGCTGAAAGAAGGCAGCCACCCTGCGTGGCGTGTGTGACACTCTCCAGGGTCCTGGCAGGAGTCCAGCCTCCCGCAGTCTCCGTCCTGTCCTCGATGGCAAGCCTCCGACCCTCTTTTCTGGACCCGGGTGCCTGACAGTGTTTCCAAACCCTGGTCTGTCCTGGTTTCCCACGATGGAACCCGACCCGACCCCTTCGGAGCCCTGCTTAACAGACACACCTGACCTCTGACCCCGATTGCCCCCATCACCGATGGTACAGGTGTGTCTCCCCCGCCCACCCACCCTCTTTTCTCCAGGTGTACATTCGCAGCACGGACTTCGACCGGACGCTGGAGAGCGCCCTGGCCAACCTCGCGGGACTCTACCCTGAGGCTGCTCCTGGGACCCCAGAGTCCAGCTGGAGGCCAATCCCTGTACACACCGTGCCGGTCACCGAGGACAAGGTGAGGGGCTGAGGGGCTGAAGCTCGCCCCATCTGGGCAGTGCTGCTTGGGGGGTGGGGTGGGAGGCAGGGCTTGGGATCCTGTGGAAAAGAGAAAGGGCCCCGTAGCCCACCCCACCCTCTGTCCTCGCTGAGCCTCAGTTTCCCCCACCCACCTCTAGCTGCTGAGGTTCCCCGCGCGCAGCTGTCCCCGCTACCGCGAACTGCTTCGAGAAGCCACAGAGGCCACGGAGTACCAGGCTGCCCTGGAGGGCTGGACGGTGAGCGGGCGGGGGAGTCTGGAGCAGGGGTGGGGGTGGGGGCGAGGGCAGGAAGGGGGCCGGGTGGGGCCCATGCTTACCCAGCTCCGTGGGCCCAGGACTTCCTGATTCGCCTCGGCAACTCCACGGGGCTGTCACTGGTCGGGGAGCCGCTCCGAAGAGCTTGGAAAGTTCTGGACACGCTGATCTGCCAGGTGAGCCCCCAGCCAGGTGCTGGCAAGTACTGGGGTTCAAGCCGCTTCCTCAGGCAAGTGACTTAGACCCCCGTGCCTCAGTTTCCCCGTCTGCACAGTAGAGGTGGCGATACCTGTCTGCACAGGTGAAGTGGCACAGGTATAGAAGAAACGGATGACCCCTGGTTTTAGAACAGCGCCAGGCGCGTGCTCAGAGCAAGGGCCGTGCAAGGATTGGCGGCCGCGCGTTTGCAAGTCGGTACCTGTGGTCCCTCTCACCTGGCAAAAAGAAACCGATGATGGCAACATAGGTACAAACCTGCTTGCTACACCTGATGTGTGGATTATGAGAAAAGCTGTAAGAGCCCCCAATTAAAATGATCTTTAAAAAACCCCAAAACTCCAGAAACCAAAAAAAAACACAAGCCAGCCAAAGCCCGACCAGACTTGGCGTGTGCAGGCAGGCTTCGCTTTGGGGCACCTCGCTCGTTTGTACACAAATGGAACGTTTGTGGGAACCCTGCATCCCGCAGGTCTATGGGTGCCATCTTTCTGGCCCTTCCTTTTGCGTGCCTGGCCCCGTGGTGGCCGTTCTCGCAATGGCCCACGTTTTCCTCCCACTCGGTAGATCACAGTCAAGTGCAGACAGCATGCGTCTTTCTCTGCACGCTGGGAACCGACTCCATCCAAGGGACTCCCTTCGCTGCGCTACTTGCCCCCACGGGAAGCGAACCAGCAGCGTCCCCGAGGTCTGTCTATAGTTCTAGGGTCCCAGAGGCACTAGGCATGGGTGCCTCGTGGAGCCCACCCACGCCCCCACACCTGCTCCACCTGCTGGCTGCACCCAGGGCCTTCCTACCACCCAAAACTGTGTGTTTACAAAATATAGCTGTCCGCAAGGGCTTCAGCTAAAGACGGGGGAGCTGTTTTCTAATTGGATGCTCATGATGTGTCACCCCATGTGGTGGAGGGGGCCGTTGGCTGCTGATTCGTCGATGCTCGTTCTGGGAGACCCACGTGTGTCAGAGTAGAACTGGACTCCCCCCAGGGGTCAAACAGCGGATTTTTCACAAGCGGGTCTCCAGGGGTTTTTTTTTAAAGCTCCAACCTTTGGGCTAATAATTCAGTGCTTGACTGGTTGTCAACACCCAGGAATGCCTTACGATGAAACATCTATAATTCACATATACTCTCTCCCCAGGAGTGGCTGGTAGGTTTCATCCATGTACTTTATAAGGTGGTGTAGTGGTGATGCCTTCAGCAATGACCACCCATAAGGCCAGCGGTTCTAAACTACTAGCTAGTCTATAAGAGAAAGACCAGGCTTTCTACTCCTCGAAAGAGTTAGTCTCGGAAGCCCACAGGGACGGTGTTGCCCCATCTATAGGGTCTCTATTGGTCAGTATTGACTCAATGGCAGTGCGTTTTTGTTTGGGTTTTTGTTTTTAATCGTAGGAAACGGGCCCTGGTAGCATAGTGGGTTGCACGTTGGACTGCTAACCCTTACGTCAGCAGTTCAAACTCACCAGCCACTGCTCGGGAGAAAAAGGAGGCTGTCTGTTCCTGTGAAGACTGGCAGCCTCTGAAACCCACCGGGGCACTTTTACTCTGTCCTATGAGGTTGCTGTGAGTTAGAATCAACTCCCTGGCAGTGAGGGTTTGGGGTGTTTTGTAGTAGAGAGTCATTTTGTAGTATCATTTTACATTGTACTGTAAGATTCACTCACTCACTGCCATTCAACCCAGGCCGACTCCTCCTGACCCTACAGGACAGCATAGAATGGCCCCTGCCAAGGTCTGAGGCTGCCACTATCTCAGGGAGAGTAGAAAGACTGCTGGTCCTTTCCAACTGGTGACCTAGTGGATGGCAACCTGATGTGTATAGTCTTTATAGGAAAAAAAAATCCTGCTCTACTTAATAAAACAGCGTATATATTTTAATATAAAATTAGGAGTCCCTGGGTGGTATCGGAGGAGCCCCAGTGACTCGTGGGCAACAGCTTGAGCCGCCCACCTCAAAGCGGGTGATGTAAACCCCTGAGCTACTCCATAGGAACAAGGTGAGGCTGTCTGCTCCACCCCACCCCCCAAAAAAATCTCAAGTTTGTGGAAACTCAAAAGATGCAGGTCTGCTCAGTCCTATAGGGTCACTGTGAGACAGAATCCACTCTATGGCAATGGGTTTCGGGTTTCAGGGTGTTATGTTGGGTTCAAGGCTCAACTTCCAGCCCTGGGTGGGCAATCAATGAGCAAGAGGAAGGTTCTCAAGAAGATAGGCAGCCCCAGCGGCTGCAGCGAGGGGCTCAACTGGGGGACTGAGGCTGGTGCAGGAGCAGGGAGCATTGCTCTGGGTTGCCCATAGGGTCTCAGTGAGTTGGGAGGAGCCCTGGGGGTCTGGTGGATTACTTGTTGGACTATTAACCACAAGGTTGGTGGTTCGAACCCATCACATGCTCTGTGGAAGGAAGATGAGGCTGTCTGCTTCCAGGAAAATGGACAACCTTATTATCAGGCATCAAAGACCCAGAACAAAAAAAGTATATCATGTCCCCACCCCCAGCCACTCCTGGGGGTTTGGGGCTCGGCTCAAGGGGAATCCCTCTGAGACATGGGGGTACAGTGAATGGTGTGACCCTTTGCTGAGCATGCCTACAGAGTAGGGGTTGCTGGGCCCCTCTAGGGTTTCCCGTATAGGCTCCAATAAATTTCTTCCCTTTTGCTTAAAAAAAAATTATATTGATGTGAGTGAGAGGGAAGGCAGAGTGGAGACCCAAAGCCCATCTGTAGACAATTGGACATCCCCTCACAGAAGGGTCACAAGGAAGAGACGAGCCAGTCAGGGTGCAGTATAGCACTGAGGAAACATACAACTTTCCTCTAGTTCTTTAATGCTCCCTCCCCTCCACTATCGGACTCCAGTTCTACTTACAAATCTGGCTAGACCAGAGCATGTACACGGTACAGAGAAGCACTAATGACACAGGGAATCCAGGACAGATATACCCCTCAGGACCAATAATGAGAGTAGAAATACCAGGAAGGGAAGAGGAAGGTGGGGGGAGAAAGGGGAAACCGATCACAATGATCGGTCCCCAGGGGGACAGACAACAGAAAAGTGGGTGAAGGGAGACAGTTGTCAATGTAGGACATGAAAAAAACAGTAATTTATAAACGATCGAGGATTCATGAGGGAGAGAGTGGGGGGGAGGGAGGGGAAAAGGGGGAGCTGATACCAAGGGCTGAAGTAGAAAGAAAAGTTTTGGAAATGATGATGGCCACATATGTACAAATGTGCTTGACACAATGGATGGATGTATGGATTGTGGTAAGAGCCCTCAGTAAAATGATTTTTTTTTAAATGTACAGCTTTGCAAACCCCATATAAGGGTCACTATGGATTGGAATTGACTTGGGGTGTCAGAGGAGGGGTTGAGAGACAACTGGAGGAGCAAAGCTAATGGGGCCCCTCTTTGTCCTCTTTCCCTGTCTCTACCCAGAAAGCCCACAGCCTTCCCCTCCCAGCCTGGGCCTCCCCAGATGTCCTGCGTACTCTCACCCAGATCTCGGCTTTGGATATTGGGGCCCACGTGGGCCCACCCCGAGCAGCAGAGAAGGCCCAGCTGACAGGGGGTGAGTTGTGGGGCTGGGAGGCCCAGAGGGCCTCGGTGCTTCCCTCTGGGGTTTCCAGCCCTCTATTTCCACCCCTCAGGGATCCTGTTGGATGCCATCCTTGCCAACTTCTCTCGGACCCAGCACCTGGGACTGCCCCTCAAGATGGTCATGTACTCGGCTGTGAGTCCGGGGGCTGGGACGAAGGGGGTGGCAATTTGGGTGTGGCAGAGTTGGTGGTGGTCCCCCTTCTTTGAACCCTACTCTCAAACCATATCACTAGAGGTATAGCGCCTGGGAAAAGGGAGGTGATGGTGTCATAGGGAGAAGAAGAAAAAAAAAAGACAGCCGCTGAAAGGACGGGCTGTTTAATCGAGCTGTCTGATCCCCTTTCACATCCCTTCGCCCATCTTGACGGAAAGGTGACACGGAACTGGCGGGACAGCTTGGAGTGACAAGAAAGGGGTAGAGCAAGTTTGGGGAGCAGGATGGGACACCGGGAGAGCTGGTCTCAGCCCATGCATATGCCTACAGCATGACAGCACCCTGCTGGCCCTTCAGGGAGCCCTGGGTCTCTACGATGGCCACACCCCGCCCTACGCCGCCTGCCTGGGCTTCGAGTTCCAGAGGCACCGTGGGGACCAGGATGAAGAGGAAGGGTGAGGCGCCCCACTTCCTCCATCCCGTTGTCTTCAGACTTACTATCCAGGTGGCCATCGCCCACCCGGGCTAGATGCCGTCGCCATCTTCCTCCCCACAGAAACGTCACCATCTCCCTCTTCTACCGCAATGACTCCTCGCGTCCGCCCCTGACCCTCCGCCTCCCTGGGTGTCCGGACCCCTGCACCTTAGGGCGCTTCCGCCAGCTGACGGCTCCGGCTCGGCCCCCGGCCCATGGGATCCCCTGCCACAGCCTCCATGAGCCTGCCGCCACCCCTGCAGGTGAGGGTCTCTGTGAAGATGGGGGGCCTCCAAATCCCAGAACTCACGCCCTCCTGGCTCAGGGCGCTAACGCTGCTATGACGCAGATCACACGGTGGGTGGCTTTGAGAAAGGAGACGTTCCTCTTCTCACAGCGTAGGAGGCTAGAGGTCTGAGTTCAGGGCACTAGCTCTCTCTCTGTTGGCTCTGAGTGAATGCCCTTGTCACTTACCCCCTTTTATTCCTTGGCTCCTTGGGGATATCCATGGGGCCAGGTATCTCCCTTCCTCGGCTTCTGTTTGCTTTTTAGTCTGTCTTGCGTGGCTCAAAAGAAATCGACTCAAGACACACCTTACAGCAGCGGTTCTCCACCTTCCTCATGACGCGACCCTTTCATTCAGTTCCTCATGTGGCGGTGACCCCCCAACCATCACATTCTTTTCGTGGCTACTTCATCACTGTCATTTTGCTACCGTGATGAATCGGGCGACCCCTGGGAAAGGGTCGTTCGACCCCCCAAAGGTTGAGAACCGCTGCCTTACAGGAATACCGGAAGTCCTCGATTTACCACGGGGCTCTGGCTCAAGGATCCTGTTGTAAATCGGTTTGGTTGTAAGTGGCATCTTTCTTTCTTGCTCATCCACGTTTCCTGACGGCTGCCTCTCCATCAACATCTGCCTTTATGAATCCGGGGTTGGAGACTATAGACGTCCAGCTTTCCGATTCTCCAATTATACTCGGGCTGTGTCCATCCCTGCCCTCAGGGCAGCTCATGGACACTAGACACGCATCTTCTAGATTTCCCAGCACCGCCCCAGTAACATAACAGTGAGAGCCCGTTCACAAATGAGGTTGCAACCACAGGTGTAGGGATTCAGATTTACAGCATGGATTTTAGGGAGCTGAAACTCAATGCCCTAATGCCTTTGTATTCTCCCTGCAGCCACCATGGTGCCCCTGCTGGCTGGAGCTGTGGCTGTGTTAGCAGCCCTCAGCATGGGGCTGGGTCTGCTGGCCTGGAGACCTAGCTGCCCGGGGGCCTGGGGGGGCCCTGTGTGAGCCAGACCTAGGATAACCCCAGCCCCACCCCCTTAACAACAGACATCGGAGCCCAACACGACTGCTCACCCCCTGCTGCTCAGGCTCCTGTGATTCACTGTGTGTGTGTGTATGTGTGTGTGTGTGTGTATGTGTGTGTCAGGAGGTGTGTTAGTCTGGGTAGACTAGAGAAATTCAGACACACTTACATGTATATAAGAAAGAGGTTTATATGCAAGAGCAATTGAATATTGAGAAAATGTCCCACCCTAGTCCAGATCAAATCCATAAGTTGGATATTAGCCCATATGTCCGATACCAATCTATAAAGTCCTCTTCAGACTCATGAAACACATGCAATGATGTCAACTGCAGGAAGATCACAGGCCAGTGGGTTGGCAGTCTTGAGGATCCAGGAGCATTAGAAGCATCTCAGCGCTGGCAGGGGTCTCTAATTGGCTTCTCCGGCAGAGGTCTGGATGCATCAGGGTAGGTCCATGTGGCTTCCCCAGCTCCCAGGGCGTAGTGCCATGTGTCTTGTCAGTAGAGTATCTCCAATGGAGTGATCAGAGAGAGAATCTTCCGCCTCCAAGGAGGAAAATCCAGATTTCCCAGAATTCTCAGGGGAAGACCATGCCCACACAGAGGCCTCATTGGCTATGATCTGATGGACAGACTAGACTCCACCCCTTCACTCTTAATCCTCTCGAGGTCCAAATTGACACCAGATTATGTAACTACCACAGGAGTCTACCTGCCTGGAGCTTACAGGTGGGTCTGTGTGCATGTGTTTTTGTCCAATGGGGCTTCAAACGGTTCCTGGGAAACTTCCACGATCTCCAGTTCCATTTGTCCACGGACTCTTAGAAGTCCCCTGTGGGTGCGTGTGGAAGCCCTGTTGGCACAGGTGTTACCTATGGGGCTGCTCGCCGTAAGGTCAGCAGTTCGAGCCTATCAGCTGCTCCATGGGAGAAAGATGCGACTGTCTGCTCCATAAACTTCTACAGCTTCGGAAACTCCCCTGGGACCAACTCAACAGCGGTGGGGTTGGGCTGTCTGTAAGGAGCCTGGTGCTCCCATGCTGCCGGGGACTGGGCAGCTCACCCAAACGCAGGCAGTTCAAACTCACCCGGTGGCTTCAAGGGAGAAAGACTCGAACATCGGCTTCTGTAAAGATGTACAGCCTTGGATGTCCATAGGAGCGGTCCTACTCTGTCTTGGGTAGGATTGCTGTGTGTCGGAGTAGACTTGCTGCCAATGGGTTTGTTCTGTTTTGTTTACCTGTCTGTGACCCAGATGGATCAGGGGCGGAGTTTCCCAAAGTTTGTCCCTTCCCTTTATGAGTAGGTGAGCTTGGTTTAGGAATCCCCCTCCCCCCAACCCCGTGCCCAGAAAGAGCCTTGAGGGCGTGGGGGTGAGGCTATGGGCTGTTAAGGACAAGGCTGCAGGCAGTTCCAGCGCCCCAGCTGCTCGAGGAGAAAGGGGTGGTGGCTTTCTGCTCCCCTAAAGATGCACAGCCTATGAAACCCCTGAAGGGCGATTCTACCCTGTCCTGTGGGGTCGCTGTAAGTGGGACGTGACTTGATGGCAGTGGGTCTGGTTGGGGTTTGGGGTCTTTTCTGTGGAGCAGCTACTCTCCCATGCCTGGTGTCATTTACCCTGGTGATAGACTAAACCAGCCTCTAACAACCGAGTGGGGTCCGTCGGCGCCATTGTACAGTTATAACATATAAAGATCAGAGTAAAGTCATAGAAGATAGGAGAGAGAGTACAATACATGAGCCAGACACATTTCATGGTAGCATGCTCACCTCAGCACCTCTTGGTGGCCCACGTGGAGGTGGGAGATGAATAGATTTCTAACCAAGGCTGGTATATACTTAGGGGGGCATGCAAGCCCCCCCTGATTCCAGGTACTCGCATGCCTAACAGGAAGGGGCTGTACCATAGGCATACACACGACAGGAAAGGGATGAGCTAGGGGTGTACATGCAATCAGAAGGGGCAGCACTAAGGGTACACACGTGACAAGATGGGCAGACCCTAGATTCAAGATGGCAGCCTAACCTTGGTCCTCCTTGAGTTGGCTCGACCTTGTCCTTGAGCTCTCCTTCATGGGCCTTATCAGCAGGGAGTGGGCCCCACCCAGAGTGGGACAGACTATAAAGTCTGATTGCTCTAGATGGCTGATGCTCTTAGGGGAAAAGTTCAAAGCTGCTGACTACACAATGTGCTAGCAAGCAGGTGACAACCTGGGGAAAACCTTCCTGTATCCCATATCCTGGCAAAGGGAAGTCTGTCCAATGGTACCAGGCTCATTTAGCTAGAACCAGGGACACTGTTCACAAGGAATAGGCACAAGACCTTATGACACAGAAAACATGATGGACAGAGCAGGTTGTGTTAGTCTGGGTAGACTAGAGGAACAAATGCATAGACACTCATGGGTACAGGAAAGAGCTTCATCTACAAGAGCAATTGACTATTGAGAAAACATCCCAGCCCAGTCCAGATCAAGTCCTAAGTCTGATATTAGCCCATATGTCTGATACCAATCTATAAAGTCCTCTTCAGACTCATGAAACACATGCAATGATGCCAAGTGCAGGAAGATCACAGGCCAGTGGTGGAAAGTCTTGTGGATTCAATGGCGTTGTAAGGATCTCAGCACTGGCAGGGGTCTCCATATGACTCCTACAGCTCAGGGCACTAGTGTCTTGTCAGCTGCAATATCTCCCAGGGAGTCAGCCTGTGTCCCACCTCCAGTGAGCGATTTATCTCCCTGGCGCCTCTAAATGAGGTCATCAAGCTGCAATCTGATTGACAGAATAAACTCTGCCCCTTCACTCTTAAGCCTCAAATGGACAACAGATTATGTAACTACCACAAGAGATATTGAGAGCTGGTGCCCCAGGACTCCCATCCAAGGAAGGAATTATTTTTGTCCCTTGAACACAGCCATTCGAGGAGCCCTGGTAGCATAGCGGTGACCCACTGGGTTGCTACTGGCAAGGTTAGCAGTTCAAAACCACCAGTAGCTCTGAGGGAGAAAGACGAGGCTTTCTACTAGTGTATTATAATCAAAACGCATTATTCGATTGCATTTTACACTGTGTTATTTTCAAATGGCTTTATTGAGATACGATGCATGTGCCTCGTAATCCACTCATTTACATTGCACAATTTAATGTATTTGATTATGTTGAGAGTGTTTAGAGGCATCAATAAAATGAATTTAAGACCATTTAAAAAGAGAGAAAGAAAATGTTTCAAAAGTGATGGCAACATATGTACAAGGGTGCTTGACACAAAGGATGGATGGATGGTGATAAGAGCAGTAAGAGTCCCCAATAAAATGGTTTGGTAAAGAAAAGAGAGTGACAGTCTCAGAAACCCACCATGGCCATTTCACCCTGTCCTACGGGATCGCTAGGAGTGGACACGGATTCCCTGGCAGTGAGACACTTGCCTCTCACTTTATCACAGGAGAGGTGGCGGAACCACAGGCCCTGGACCCTGTTTTGTGGGGAGGGACCATGGTGAATGCCAGAGGAGGAGGGAAGGTCTCCTTTGTTCAGACTCAAAGGGCTTGACCACCCTCCATGACCTTCTTGTGAATGCTTTTCCTAGCTTCGAATTAATGGCTAGATGATAGATAGACCAATAAATCCCTCACTGCCAGTCAATTCTGACTCACAGCCCCCCTAGAAGCCAGAATAGAACCAGCCCCTTGGGTTTCCAAGGCAGAGAGCAGACAGCCTCATCTTTCTCCCTTGAAGATGCAGGTGGGTTTGATCCTCTAGCCTTGCGGTTCATAGCCCAACCAGCAACCCACTAGGCCACGAGGGATTCTTCTCCTGGCTTCTGCTGGCCCCAAACTGAACTCACTGCCTTCGAGACCGTTCTGAGACGTGGTCACCCTATAGAACAGGATAGAACTGGCCGCGAGGGTTTCTACGGCCGTCCATCTTTCTGGGATAGAAAGCCTCATGTTTCTCGCTCAGGTGGGCTTGTGGTTTTGAACTGCTGACCTTGTGGTTAGCAGCCCAATGTGAATGCATCATAGCACTAGGGCTCTGCTCTTCCCTAATACTCCCCTCCACCCAATGTAAGACTGCACCTCACAAGCTCACACTTGCTGATTACCCATAGGATGAGTTACAGGGAAGCCACATACTTCTGTGCAGGAAACAGTGGGGGTCGGGGTGGGAACTGCTTATCCTGCTAGACTGAAAGTGCTCTGGAAAAATGGCAACTTGCAATGAAGGGAAGGGAAGGGGGGGAGGGGGGTGGCAGCTGCGGCGACGTCCTTCCAGGTCTGTCCACTTGGCCTGTCATGTCTCCCGAGCCAGGAGGCAGAGGCGTGGGCAGCTCTGCACAGGGCCAAGTAAATTGCCCCCACACCTCCAAACCCAAGGCTCTTCCGGCCCCCTCAGGAGTAGCAGTAGGGGAGCAGGGCCAGCTTCTCTTCTGAACTGCAGGGGGTGGGGCGTGATTGCCCACCAGCACCCCCACCCCACCCCAAGCTGTGAAGGCCTTCCCCTACCACTGGCTGTCCCAGGATAGAGACTGATTTACCATCTCCACAGGCGCCTCTCTATACCTTCCCGCCCACTTCCCCTCACCCTCCCTCCCACCTGCCAAGGGCAGCCTCAGCACACCCCAGATGTGGTGGGGCGGGGCCTAATTGAAGCTCCAAAGGGGCCCCCATCTTTGCTGAGCATAGGCAGCCACTGCTACACAGATGGCCCATGGGCAAGGGGCCTCCTCTGAGCCTGGCATCCCTGAGGTCCTCTGCAGGAGCACAGGCATGGGCTGCTTCAGGGCACGCAGAGTTCTGTAGCCAGCTTGGGGGGTCAGGAGGTGGGGCGCTGGGTCGGTGGGGCCGGCTCCTGGGGAACAGCAGGTCCCGCCTCTCAGTGAAGGGCTGGAGGGCCTTCGAATACCTCCCGCACATGGGTCCCGTACAAGCCACCACCCGTGACCACAGCTCCTTGGGCGCCACCATCAACGGGTGCCTC